GTTTGACTGTGTTTGGCCCAGAGTTTGAGTTTCTGCCACTGATGGCCTGAAATGCACTTAGCGAGTCTGATAGGACGGCTGCCTTTGCTTCAGGAAGTTCCCGTATGAGATTGAGTGCATGATGAATTGCCTCCAATTCAGCAGTGAATACTGACTGACCATCAGACAGGCGAACCGAATGTGCTTGGGGTTTGGAGCTGTGGATATGGATACCGTAACCAGCACTGTTGTTGATAGGATTCTTGGATCCATCAGTGTATGTATGGGCCCAGCTGTCCCAGGTAGTTTGAATATTAGTGATATTTGGGTTGGGTTTTCTTTTTTAGTGACTTCTGATGTTAAAGCAGTGTCAACTTTGGGAGTTTTTAAAGTCCAGGGAGGGAGTAACCCTTTGTAGTGACTTTCTGGATGCTGAATGTCATCACACTTGTGACTTTGGATGAGTTCAGGTACTAATATTCCAGGTGGCTTTAGTGAATAATTTTTCCGAGCTAGCGCTCCATCTCGAGTGTTTTTGTCTTGCCATATCTTTTTAACTAAAGGGTTTGATGTTCGTCCCCAGAACGATAATATGCCTGCTCTCTTCTTAGTTTCAATGGGAGTTCTCCCGTTTCTACTTGTAGTGCTTCTAGTGAAGTGGCTGTTGCTGCGCCTATGGACAGCATTAGGGCTTTGTATTGTATTCTGTCGAGGCGGCTCAAGACAGTATTTGATGCGGAGTGAAAGGCCTCACAACCATAGTCTATTTTTGATCTGATAAGTGATTTGTAGAGGTCCAGCTGAGTGTCCCTCGATGTGCCTGAAATTGCCCGTAATACGTTCAGGTCTTTTTGACATCTGTTTTCCACGTATTCTATATGTTTGCGTCAAGTGAGGTGTTGATCAAAGATCACCCCAAGGAATATTGCAGATTTTTCAAATTGAATTGGTTTGCCTTTTATGGAGACACGGGGTACCATAGCATCTTTCCCCCTGCGTTTTAATAGAACTCCCAACAGTTTGTTCACTTAAAAGGGTAAACCCCAATTTACTGAATAAGGGACACTGTACAGAATATATACTGAACCGCAAAAGACACGTCAAAATGGATAGATATATGAGAAACCTTATTTGTTCAAACACTGTAAACATACTTTGAGACATATTAAAAAGATGAAACTTGGCAAAGCTGATCATCAAGGTTGAATTTTAAGTGTCAAATGTTCTTAAAGTGAGTCAGTATCGCGTGTGCCCGCCATGTGCATTGATGACTGCCGTGAAACTTGTGGTTGTGGCGACGTGCCAAATGAGGTATGGCGTGTGGTCTCAAGACTTGATCAATGTACCGAGCTGCTGTGACACCATTGCCTCTCCCTGGACTGATGTTCTGGAAGACCACAGGGCCAACCCTCTGTGCAAGACCAATCCCACCCCACACTAAGATGCTCGGACCACCCCACGAGTCTCTCACAACAACACAAGCATCCAAATAACGTTCCCCACGGTGTCGCCAGACTCTCTCTCTCTCTGCCATCTGCTGTTGAGATACAGTAACGACTCTCGTCTGAGAAGAGAACTCTTCTCCACCAATGCTGGTGCTGTGTTGCCCACTGAAGAAAGTCCTGGCGATGACATGGTGTCAGAATGGGTCCTCGGTGTGGCCTGTGATAGGACATGAAGCCAAATAAACAAACAGCAAGCCAATGTTGACACCAACTTCACCAGCTCCAACTCACTCAACGCCATGCTAAGAGCCAATGGTAGGAACACAACCAAACCCCAAAAGCCTAAAGGTGTAGTTTACAAAATTGACTGCAACTGTGGACAATCCTACCAAGGTGAAACACCCCGCCCCATCAACACCAGAATCAAAGAGCACAAAAACTCAACCATCAAATCAGACAGTAAAACAGACATCTCTGACCATATCAGAAACTGTCCTAATCACAACATAAACAGGGACAACATCCAAATCCTCTCCAACAACCTCTATGATTTCACTGTAAGAACACTAACAGAAGCAGACCAAATTCACCACCACAAACCATCAATCAACAGAGATCAAGGCTATTCCTTCCCAACAGCCTACTATGAACTCATTAAGCAATAATCACCTATCCTGTTTAATTGGCTTTATGTCTTATTGGCTTCCATTCCACCTATGTGGTCTCTGCCCATCGTGTAGTGACAGTATTATCCTTCTGTTGTCATCACTTTCTTATGTTATCCCACTCATGAATGCAATTGTTGTTACTGTTAATCCTTTCCTGTTATCCTCCACCTACTACATTGTATATATATTCTGTACAATGTCCCTCATTCAATCGGAACAATATCCCCTAGAAAATGGCACTCCCCAGGGCAGTATCCTCATCCCCACCCTCTTCAATATAATGATAAACGATCTATTCGAGGGCCTATCCCCTAAACTAAACGCATCAAAAATGCGGATGATGGAGCCCTCTGGATCGCACTAAAAGCATTAAAATGGCCCAAAATTTACTCCAAAAATCTCTAAACAAAATACAACAATGGGCTGACAAATGGGGCTTCTCCCTTAACTCAAAAAACAACAGGAATAGTATTCAAACATAAAAACATGAAACCCGCCTCCCCAATCCTCCAGCTAAACAACAAAACAATCTAATTTCAAAAACAAACCAAATTCTTAGGACTTATTTTCGATGAACATCTCACCTGGGATGCTCACATCCAAAACCTAACAACTAAATGCAGTAAAGACCTAAACACGCTAAGATGCCTAACTGGCTCTAACTGGGGAGCCTCCAAAGATACCCTCCTCTCTCTCTACATATCACTAATTAGAACACGGCTGCGCCATATGCAACACCCTAAACAACTCTCTACCTAAAAAACTTGACTCAATACAATATCAGGCTCTCAAACTAATTACACGCACCCAACATGGCACCTCCTACACTTCACTTCAGTCCTTAACAGGAGAAATGCCACTAAGTCTACGCAGTGAACAGCTAAGCTTAAATTTCTGGGCCGCGTCCCAATCAAACCCTCTCATCCAAAACTTATTAAACCAAAACATCAGCCCCCAAAACCAAGCTCTAGCTCGTAAACACCCCTTACTTACCCCAATATCCCAAAGAATAACAAACTACCTAAATGAACACCAAATTAAAAATCTTAAACAAAACTGCAAACAATCTTCACCCTTCACCCTTCACCCCTAAACTTAAAATACCAGAAAATAGATACAACACTAGCTAGCCAAATAAATAAACAAACCGGCCCAAACATAGCTAAAACCACCACACTAGCATACATACACGAAAATTGGCCAAATTGGTGTCACATTTACACGGACGGATCTTCAGATCCAACCTCCAAACACACAGGTTTCGGAGTCCATACCACACAACCAACTAAAACCACACAATCCTTCCGACTCCCAAACAACCAATCAATATTCCCAGCAGAACTAATGGGCATGGCCTCAGCCCTCCATAACCAAGAATCCAAAAACCACAAAAAAAATCCTTATACTTACCGACTCCCTAAGTGGACTGCAAGCCCTCCAAAGCGAAAATACCAAAAAACGACCTAAATTAATAAATCAAATACTTGAAAGCTCCAACGACCTAACTAAGGCAGGCAAACAAATAACATTCTTATGGATCCCAGCCCACGTAGGAATATACGGTAATGAAAACGCCGATAAAGCAGCTAAGCTATCCCTCAAAATCCCAGAAATAAGCTTAAACTTACCCATCTCAAAATCAGAAATTAAAAGCGTAAACAAGCAAAAAATCACCAAAAAAAGGCATAACCTAAATCTAAACTCAAATAGCAAAATCAAAAAAGTACTCGGCAAACCACTAACCAAACCAAAAATTCTCCATCCATCAAATAAAAATCAACAGAGTAATCACTAAACTCCAAACAGGACACACCAACCTAAATAATCACCTACATTTTTTTTTAAAAAACACTACAGGTAACTGCCCACACTGCAAACAACTAGAAACCCCAGAACGCGCACTCATCCACTGCACACAATACCTAACACATCGAACCGCATTACAAACCACCCTCAATCTTTACAAGGCTTTCACTCTAGAAGCAATACTAAACCCACAAAATAAATTAGAAATTTTCAAGGCCTAAGGCCTATTCAAAACGGAACTAATAAAACGCATCTAAAAACAAAATAATCTACCAAATCAAAATCACATAAACAAACAAACATCCACCATACCCAGCTCCCTTAGTTCTCCTCCCCAACCCCATCGGCATCTATTCCAAATCTCAAAATTCCCAAATTCTATATAAGCAACCCCTAAAGCCCCCTCTTGGGTTGCACACACCACTTTTGCCTCTTTCGGAAACACATTAAATGGCCTGGCCTGGCCGGGCCCGTGTGCGAAATACGCATTAGTCGGAAAGCGCACGTTAGATCTCCAAAGTAAGTAAGTAAGTACCCTCATTCAGTCTTGCTTGACAACAGTATAAGGATCTATACCGAAACATCGCATTTTACAGTATTAAAGAAGTTGTTATCCATAAAATTGTGTCTACCTTGTCATCCGTCAACTTCTTAATCATGCCTGTCAAACAATTTGTCAAGAACCAGCAGTAAATGACTTAAAGGAGTAATGCAGGATAAGTTAAAAAATATAAAAAATAAAATTATTCAAATCCCAAATGATCAAATGGCTACCAGTTCACCAAAAGACTGACCTGCATAGCAAGTTTCATCATAATATATTCAACAGTTTTGGACTTGTTCTCCGGAAACTGGCACTGTCCTTATTTTTTTTCAGTAATGTCAAACTTGTGGTCGTGAAAACATTTAAAAAAATACAAACTGATAACAGACTGATCTGTATGGCAAGTTTCAACAAAAAATATTAAATGGTTTGGGAGCTCCAGAAACAGAAAAGGAATGGACAGACAGGTAGATAGACGGACATGCTGATCGATCCTGGCTTTGCAAACAGATACAAAAGAGTTCCTCAATGTCAACTGTTGAAAACACAACACGTGTGATTGTTTCTGCCTTTATTGTAATGACTGAAAATACACACAACATCAACAGTCATTATGTACACACTTCCCTCACTGCTAGGAAAGACCACTTGCTTAAACAGCACTCAGTGCTTCATCATATATTATCAACTGTAAATGTTTCTGTTCCATAAAATTTCAATAAGTGAAAATATGCATGATATATTTAGTAACACAAATATGTCCAATGGCAGTCTTTACAGGCAGCCTCCTTGTCCAACATATACTGCACAGAAATGGAAGCCTGTCTTTAGAATCAAGTGACTGCCAGTGTGGATGTATTTTAGAATGAATGTGCTTCCCTTCCAATCTGCAAGTATTGTCACCCTCAATATGAAAAGAAAACATGTCATGCATCAACCTTACCATAAGGGGCATTCACACAGTACAACTAGTTGTGTACAATTTGCTGTATGCAGTTAGGTCCTTTATTGAGTGGTGACACTTAGGATATCGAAAAGCAGAAGTTTTCAACGTGAATCGGAGTCACCATTTTTGTTTACAAATTGATGTGTAAATATCATATGATTTTTCATACGTGTTTTGATTGTCTGCATTCACAGAAGTTGTCACATGAAAATAGAGCATGTCCTATTTCATACAAAAGTTGGACAGACTTGCCTGTTCACACGATGCAATGTGTTGCATGCAACAAATTGTATACACCTAGTTGCACCATGTGAATGCCCCTTTGCAGTAATATGTACACATTAAATTCCTTACATAAATGAACTTTCAGTTTGTGGTGACAATCTAACAACAAATATAATGTCCCAAGTTGGCAGCCAACAACAAATCAATAACATCTGTGAAACACCAGTTCCAAGGCCCAAACTACAGCCAGAGTGAACACTCATGCTAGGTCTGGTGAAAGCTTTACCCTCTGTTTTCAGGGAACAGTTTATATGACAATGCACAACAAAATGTCCATACATTTCAGGGCGGATAACCAAATGGTATGATTTCAATTTTTGGATATCACAGAATGTGTTATGACATAAATTTGTTATGATACTTGAAACTCTGCATCATGAATAAGCAGAAAATGACATTTTGCCAAAGCCAGGAAATGGAAATGAAGACTGTTACATTCTGGCCTGAATGATACATAGTATGTTTCAGCCCATGTCCTACATTCCACTGTGAATGATGTGATTCAGGTCTAGGCATAGTACTGCAAGTTGGCCTTCTTCTTGGCTTGCACCTCAATGATAGCATCCATGTAGTCCTCATGACTCAACTCCACCGCCTCACGACGCAGAGCAATCATACCCTGAAACACACAATCAGGAGAATTAGCATGATTAGTGAAATTCTAATTACTAGCACTTAAAACTGCACACTGTTTGTTTGTTATTTTGCCAGTCAGTAATATTCAGGCCATGTCATGGCACATGTAAATAACCAAGTCTGGACCAGACAAACCAGTGCTTGTTATTATAAGCAGCATCCTTCGTCATACCGGTGCAAACACCAACAATCAAACAAGTCACCAATTCTGTGTGCTGGGGAAAAAACAAACTATGACAACAAGAAACCAGTCAAACAGATTCTTAAGACTTATATGTGATACTCCAAAGAACTATCTTGACAGCCACATTAACAATGGACACAAAATAGTTCTCAGTATGCACAATGTATAAGTGAATGGAGTTACTCTTTCAAGATTTGTTAAGGTTATAACATAAAAACATTTATCTGGCTTGAATAGGACAGTTCTCAGCATACACCAGTGATTATTTTTGGCTGCCAGATTTTTAATACAATGCCCTTCTTTCTCCTGGTTATATGTGGTATGGTAATGCGACAATCAGTATGAGAATTGACATATTCATGTATCAACAGAAATATAATTAAACTTACAGCTTCTACACAGACTGCTTTCAGTTGGGCACCATTGAAGTCATCTGTACACCGGGAAAGTTCCTCATAGTTGACATCCTTGCTGTAAACAACAACAAACTATCTCTAAGAATACTTCAAGAGTTTTGTCAGTTTGTCAAGAAGGCCGGAATAAACTTTCATTTCTATACCTTATTTCACTGTACCTCGTACAACACTTTAGCAGAATGTCATGTTTCCGTGAGCATTATCTTTGAAAATGGTGAATATGAAATTTCAGTTTCCAAAGAAAACAAACAAATTGAAGATCTTTTCAGGATGAATTCCAGGTAGTAAGTGGGAGGGGTTTTTTTGGGTCACAGTTAGCAATATAACTGAATACTCTATGTATGGAACGGACAATCAAATGGTTGATGGCATGGGCAATGTTCCATCCAATGATGTACAATTAGGTCATATTACATAATCATAATCACAAGCATGAGTACAGGGTGACTTAGTCTGTCTGAGACACCCAACAGGGTCCTAGTGTACAGAAAATACCCACACACAAAATGTCAGCGTGGTCAATGAAGCTGGGTATTATGTAGTCAAGACACTTTTCAATCTTGAACTTGATAGCACTAATCCTTGTACCTTATTTTAACACCTGAGAAAGTAGGAACATTGTTGTGCTCACCTAACATTCATCTTCCTGGAGTGAATTTGCAGGATTCTGGCCCTTGCCTCCTCGTTGGGGTGTGGGAACTCAATTTTCCTGTCCAGACGACCAGATCGCAGCAGAGCAGGATCCAGAATGTCTACACGGTTTGTGGCAGCAATAACCTGACATAACAACACACACACTCAGTCACTGTGAAGTCTCCTTAAACAGTTTTATCTATTGTTTGTTTGTTAACGCTGCAGTCAATAATATTCCAGCTATATGACGGCTGTCTGTAAATAATTCTATAAGTCTAGACCAGTCAATTCAGTGATTGACATCATGAGCATCAATCCACGCAATTGGGATATGATGACATGCATCAACCAAGTCAGTGAGTCTGACCACCCATCCCCATAGTCACCTCTTAAGACAAGCATAGTCCGCTTTCACAGCAAGCTTGGTTTGCAAAAAGCCTATTCTACCCCGGATCTTCACAGGTCAAAACTATATCTTACTGGAATGCACCCATTTTCAACAGTAACAATCTCCCTTGTTTCGACAAGCAGTTTCTACCATTTATTTTACAACAGCTTCAGGTCTGCAATCATTCATTGAAATAATATGACAAAATTAAATATGACAATATTGTTAGAATCATCAATTATCATGATTATAACTTTAAACAAGAGTCATCAGAAAGATGACATTTCCCCCGGCAGCTGTCTGTAAAGTAACCACTAGTAAATGTGCAATTCCGTATGTAATGAGTCAACAGTTGAAAGTTCTTTAAGAAGCATACATTGTTTACCCACTGAATGGTTTTCGAATTCTGGCCCGGAAACAAACCCGTTCCCCAATGGAGTCTAGGTCCAACTTCTTTCCATAAAAATTGTAAAAAATAAAAATTTGTAAAAAAAAATATCAAAAGGCACCACTTCGGTATGTTCCTGATAGCTTTGCCAAGTTTGGATCAAATACACTGAATGGTTTTCGAATTCTGCCCAGGGTACGAACCCCATACCCAATTGAGTCCATGTCCAACTTCATTCCATAAAAATTAAAAAAAATTAAAATTAGAAAAATCCCCAAATATCAAAAGGCACCACTTCAGTATGTGCCTGATAGATTTGCCAAGTTTCGATCAAATACACTGAATGGTTTTCGAATTCTGCCCAGGAAACGAACCCCATACCCAATTGAGTCCATGTCCAACTTCATTCCATAAACATTGAAAAAAAATAAAAATTAGAAAAATCCCCAAATATCAAAAGGCACCACTTCAGTATGTGCCTGATAGATTTGCCAAGTTTCGTTCAAATACACTGAATGGTTTTCGAATTCTGCCCCGGAAACGAACCCCATCCCCAATTGAGTCTATGTCCAACTTCATTCAATTAAAAATTGAAAAAAATAAAAATTAGAAAAATCCCCAAATATTAAAAGGCACCACTTCAGTATGTGCCTGATAGATTTGCCAAGTTTCGATCAAATACACTGAATGGTTTTGGAATTCTTCCCCGGAAAAGAAAATGATTACGGACGGACAGACGGACAGACGGACAGACGGACAGACTGGCTGATCGCTATATCCCCCCGCATTATATGCCGTGGGGATAACAATGTCTAAAGTTGGCCACACATAGCAATCTTCCAGCTATATATGACAGCTCAAGTTGTTTATGATGATATAAGCACAAAATAGTTTATCAATGTAGACACTCAAATACCAAACTAATACACAAATACTTCACTGAGCAATTTGGTTAAAACTTAGTAAAATCTTAATGGATTAATCCTAAAAGCATTGACTGCTGTTTTTTGACAGAAAGACAAATTTGTGAGAGGTCGAGCTTCATAAGAAGTTGTTCCAACTATGTGTGTGGCCAATACCCTCGCACAACTTCCACGTAACCTAGAAGTGGTGACATCATAAATAATCACATTACTGCTTGAAACATAACATCTGAAGACTTGTGTTGGGAGGCAACTCTGCAACGGGCAGGCACTTGGACGAAGTAATGCAGGATAAGTATACAAATGTAAAAAATATTTAGATTTTAATAAAAAAAATTAACTTATCCTGCATTACTCCTTAATGCATCTTTATCGGATGGTATAGAGGTGAGCATAGCTTCAGATATGATCCTCAATGAGCCCTCAGTAAAGTACAGGTACCACATACAGTATCCTGAGCGAAGAACGAAAACCAGTGACCATTCCTTTCAGAAGGAAAACGAGCCTCAGGAAAGGAGGAAGACCAGATTGGAAACAGTGATAGAATAAAGCTTACGCCAAAATCTAAAACTGACCTACTGAGCTAATGCAAACAGCATGTGTGCCCTCTAATTTGGGGTGTAATACCGGAGAGTTCAAAAGGACAGCTCTGGTGTCCGGGAGAAATCAGTGGCGTCGGCACTTGTGAAGGCCACCACCGATGAACCAAAACTGCCTCCACATCCTCCAAAGCCAATCCCCTCCAATAGTGAGTGAGTGAGTGAGTGAGTATGGTTTTACGCCGCTTTTAGCAATATTCCAGCAATATCACGACGGGGGACACCAGAAATGGGCTTCACACATTGTACCCATGTCGGGAATCGAACCCGGATCTTCGGCGTGACGAGCGAACGCTCTCCGATGGTGACTGGCAAAGACTGTTACTGAGAGCCCAAAACAACCTTCATGGCTAACCTCTGTCTGGGATGTAGGAGAAACCGGGATGAAAGGACGTTTCCAAGAAAACACTGCAGTGCTCACACTCGCCATAGGAAAAGTTCCTCCATCTTCCTCGTCTTCGGGACCCACTATTGAAGAAAGGGGAGGTATAGTGAATGATCCTGGGAGTTGATTCTTGGCTATGAAATCCCAGCACAGCTCAAGATAAATGACTCCATGCACCCTGTGCTGAAACCGGACCTGGGTGATGTCAAAAGCATGTAGTTTACTTACCCTCGCCGCAGTGACCAGAGCCAGAAGGAAAGCCATCTTCTTGGTAAGGTAAGAGAACGAGGTCAAATAAAGTGGCTCAAATGGAGCCACGCATAGCAGCCCTTAAAACCACGTTCAGATCCCAAGCTGGGGGCACATGGAGGTTGGTAACCATGATTGTCGATCAGGGAATCGTTGGCGGCGATCCTGGCCATGAGCAGCCTCAACATCGTCATTCGGAAATAAGGTGTACATTCGAGATAACATCAATTGAATGTGGCCAGATTGTGTATCATCCACAGTTTGTCAGAGTCCATCTTGGCAATAAGGAATACTGGGAGTAGAAACCTAGGATGAGAACCGGATTGGGAACAATCTCTTTGACTTCTTTGAGGAGCAGAATGTTCATAATGTTGCACTTAAGCTGAAGTATCCTAATTTGAAACAAGAAGTTGAGCCAATATTTCTGAGTTTAAAACAATATATGAATGTCACGTGTATCAACTTAACAATGCATGTAACCAACTGAAACAAATAAGTAACGAAATAAAACTAGATGTTTTGAACAGATAATATTGTACTTACGATAAAGGAAAAATCCAATACACATAATCCAAGACAATTTTAATAATGGATTTCTTTTTTTTCCACATAATTCACACACAAAACTAAGTTTGATAATTAGATCCACATGTGTGCCATGTATTGTTTGTTCGGAGGAATTGAATACTCTAGTGCAGAAGTTTTAAATCACAATCTGGCATCACTTCCCGTTTTGTCCACACCAATCCTTCATCTGCTAATATCCGTTTTTCAAGTCCAAATATTTGTAGCGTTGTTTTCGAATTGATGAATTCTGCAACTTGGCAGGGCACTCTTCCCTAACCATGATTGCCTGTGCTGTGTCATGGTTGACAAAAGTAGTGTGAACATACATCTTCGCCTTCATCTGGGTCCACAATGAAATTTACACTGAACCACTAATACCAAGAATCGGCACAGAATTTGTCAAAATTTCTTTTGCACTTGTAAGGGCAGGAAGAGAGGTGGCATCTTGTTGATTCGAGATGACAGCTGGACCAAAGGCTCCCCCGATCATCTCAAACATCTTCCGTCAAACTTAGCGCCACACGAAATTGTTGTGTTCCTCATATAAAAGACAAGCGAATTTGCAAAGTACTTGACAGTAAACTGTTGTAAGCAGTAATCCAATTCATGGGGCGTGGTTGGTAGGAAAGAGCGTGGTCAAAATAGGGGCAAAGAAAAAGTTTTAGAAAGTAGGAATCCGCAATGCAATCACTGCATGTTAAATACCATTCACAGCATGTTTTTGTAATAGCATTCACGAAAACAATTCTTTACTAATAAAAATAAATTAATAATCTGAGAGTGACATTGTTGCTTTGAGCTGAAAGACCAAAAAAAGTGTTCATGCCGAAGTAGGTACAAGAAATGATGATCTGTGTAGCCAGTGACCTGAATAATCTTGATGAAAATAATGTTAAGTCCAGGTTCATGCACATGACAGAAATAGTGTGAACAAAATATATTCTGAACCACGTTTCAAAGTATGTAAGGCTGTTCATGTTTTATCTGAAACTCCTGAATTCTTCCTCCCGCTGTGGAGAATTGTGCACGATCTAATTACTACTACCATTGCACCATCATAAAAGAACTAGGTCAACTTTATCTTTCTTCAGCTGTTTATTAACACTTTGTTTCCATAGCAAAGCAACTCACATCAAACTAGTAAAATATTAGATATTTTTTAAATTTGTATTTGGTATATTCTGGCAGATATGTAATAGAGGTAGATGTTACGTAAGAATTATCGAACAATAGTTATCATTGTTAATAATTCTTAGAATACTACCTCTAATTCATCCGAATTACTCCCTCCCACCTCCCCAATACATCTACCGCTAGTAGAAGATGAGGGAAAAAACGTGATATGGCCACTATTGTGACATCATGGCATGGGTATTTACGAGACTACTTGTCAGCAACTAATTGTGTGTACCGTATTCGACGTAATAAGCGCCCCGCTCTAATAAGCGCCCACGGCGATATTTGCTAATATATTGGCTAGTGAACAATCCCAGTTAGCACCCCTTCCGATTGATCAATATACACAAGACTTATTTATTCGTGTATAATACGTGTGTTATATGCATCCTTAATTGTCAGGCTGTCAGCATAAACCACGATCTTTTAACACTGTTGTTTTTCACCAAAATACTATTCTATTAAGAGCCCCCTATTTCTAATTTTGAGAGCGCCCTGGGCGCTTATTATGTTGAATACGGTAATTGACAGTGAATAGGACATCTCTTGAAAATCTGAAAAGTTTATTCGGTGTGATTGGAGCCTAAATACAGAATTTATGGCAGATATGTAATAGAGGTGAACATCTTGCTTTGGGAAGTTGTTTCAACTAGCTGAGAGGCAAACCCTATCACACAACTCCCATGTGACCAAGGGAAGTGATGTCACGGATCCACACATTACTTCTTAAAACCAGATCATCAGAAGGCATCGTGGATAGGTCCCTTTAGACGCATTAATGCAGGATAAGTATACAAATATATAAAATATCTAGGATTTTACTTGAGTTTTTATTTATTCTGCATTACTTCTTAATGCATCTTTTATTGACGGAATCGTTGGAGGGACTTTCATCTCAGAACTCTGATTCCCTCAGCCAATCATTGACTGTGCGGTCTGCATCAATCCACCAGTCTGTAGACAGGAAAACAGGAGTTAGGTATGCAGAGTGTCCAGGTGCAACGCAGCCATAGACGATAAACGAGTTATGATTGTAGACTGAAGTACTATACCGAGCCGTTATGTGTGGAGCATTGAACCTTCTATTCAAGGGCAATTGCCGGGGAGGTCGAGAGGCCAGCTCTGGATAAGAGGTGAGGTCAGTGGTGTCTAGTAGTGGTGACGTGCTGGGCTACTACTAACGGACCAAAACTGTGCATGCATTGCACATCCTCCAAGTCGACGTTATGGCTTGATGTTTTTCTCTGCAAAAACTCCCAAAAGATAGCCATTTGTCATTGTACAAGCTCCTAGTGGACAGACAATGTGCCATCCTGAAGGCCTTTGCCGCTCTGCCCGAGTATCTTTAAGTGTTTAACACCCTCTGTAGATGGACCACACTTGTAGACATGTCTGGTCCTGGATATGGCTGCCTGCTGTGGGGATGAATTAGGTTTGGCCAGTATGGGAGTGGTGACAGGTCGGCGCCGGCTATCTCTCTGAGGTTGACGAACCAGGCCCAGGGCACGACCAAAGTCAAATCAAGGCTCAGCATCAACTTGATCTTTTGAATTACCCTGGAAAGATGATGGGTGGTGGAAAGGGTACGCTTTTAGTCCTTGTTGGTATGTGTTGGACATGGAATTGAATCCCCAGATGATCCCTCAGGTTAAAGAAGTGGAACGTCCGTTGAAGGAGTGAGTCGTTCCCTGGTTCCGGAGGCACCAGACAACAGTTATGTTGTCCATCAAAATGAAGAGACCGGCATGTCGAAGGGTCTGCTGCCAATGGGAGAGAGCCAGAGTAAGCGCCTCCAGTTCGAGGTTGTTTATGTGCCACTGGAGCTGCGCGGTGCACCACAGCCCCGAGGTGACCTGTCCCTCTAGTTGTGCACCACAGCCCCGAAGGTGTAACGAGGTCGTAAACCCTGTCAAATTGACGCTGTCTAAGACATTCATGTCCACCGTCCACCACCAGAGATAAGGTTTGAGGTGATCCGGGAGGACAATGGAGACTGATGGATCCAGACGCCTGAAGTAGGGAGCCAGGAACATCTGGACAGGGCGCAGTTGGAGCCTTCCTCTGTAGGTCAAGTCCTGTGCTGAGGTTAGGAGGCCCAGAAGGACCTGCCACTGACGCAGCATGTGTGGCTGTAGAGGGCTGGGACCAGGTGTAGTTGAATAAACAGTCCTTATAGATGATTAAATTGTCTTTATCATAGCCCGAGGGCATCTGTATGGTGGACTGTATAGGTGCTATCTGGTAAGTCTGAGCCACACCGGACGTCATGGTGGTGGCCGCCGCTGTGTAGACGTGGTGGTGGTGGTCGTCAAAGTGCTCTGGGTAGACACAGTGACTGAGCAGGATGACAAAATGGCCGAAGTAGAGGCCGAGGATTCCCAGTCAGAGGAGGCTGTTGAGGCTGCCCGTCTGGCTTGGGTAGTCTTGGAATTGTCCGACATCTTACGCTTGAGCTTCAGCGTTTACTGCGATTTGCGTTTCTTGGACACTAGCAGGTATTGTCTGAAAGCTGTGGGGGGGGGGAAGCTGGAGACAGTCTTTACATCTGGAAGACTGGAGGCATGGTGATGTACAATTTAAGCACCGTGAGTGGGGATCCAAGCTGACTTACTACGACGACACTTGGAACAAGATGGCATGTTATCTACAACGAAGCAGAGTATAATCACAATGCATCCCCACCCAATTATGTATGCTATAATTTGTTTTCCCAGCTTTTTGGCTTCAAGTAAACAAGTTCATATAGAACGTAAAACAACACACATTTACAAAGAATACAATTGCAATTGTACGACAATGGTGAGGTACTAGGCAACAAGGAATACAGCACATGGACCATGTTCATTCTAGACCCTGTGGCCACGTAAAATATTCAAGATGGCTACTTGAAACTAAAACGACACCTGAGATTACCTAATTGTTCTTAAGAACACAAACATGTGTCAAAACATTTTTGCCATGCTTAAAACATATAGAATGGATGAGGATACAAACCATAAGCAGAAGCACAAGAATAGCAACTCAAAGAAGCAAAACACATGAGGGTTTCAACAAGTTTAATGAGCTGATCAAAAAAGAGGTCTTCACTCTTCAAGTGACAAAAGTAATGTGAGGATCCGTGACGTCACTTCACGTTGGAGCTGTGTGATAGGGTTGGCCTCCCAGCTAGTTGGAACAACTTCTTCAAGCAAAGACCTCTCACACAGCTCTTTCTCTCTGTCCAGAACAAGCAATAAATGCATTAAGGAGTAATGCAGGATAAGTAAAAAATATAATTTACAGGAGGAAAACAAGGAGGCGACATAGACATAGCTGGCGGTGCCAGAGATGTGGTAGACAAAGAGGGACCATGGACTGATCCAGGCGGGATCCATGAATGGCACCTGCATGAGCTGATGTGGCACTGGCTGTGATAACTGTTGAGCAGTGAGACCAGGGAAGTGATCGAATTGTGGAGGCACCAGCACCATAGAAAGTGCCGTAAAGGAGTTCAAGTGTGCTGGCGGAGGCGCTAGAAGTGTAGACAGTGGTCGTCAGTGTGAAGGGTGGCGCAAGCGCCGGTGTAGTGATAAACGTATAGATAGGCGCCGCCATCTGTGTAGTCAGCTGTGTTTGAAGATGCACCATCTCTATAGAACACATTAATGCCTGAGGAGACGTGAGAGTCTGCCTAGGTGATGAATTCTCGTGTGTAGGTGACGAGTCGGGTGGCTGCATCTCAGCCAAAGTTGTCTGCATATCAATGATAGCAGTGGTATCAAACAATGAATTGAAGAGGTAATTAATAACTCATAGGTTTGGAAGAGGAAAAATCATGCAAATAAAATGTGTTAAACACTTAGACACACACAAAAGGTATAAGCAATAAACGAGAAACAAACACCAAGCCATAACATGAGACATCAAGACGCAAAACACAAGATCGTGTGCATGTGGTAAAATCAAAATGGCGGATAGAAACAATGATAGGCACAATGTTTACTGTGACTGTGAGCCCCTAACGAGCGGGAATTTTTACGAAGCAGCAAATTGATAAGACTAAAAAGCACAAACCATAAGCAAAACAACAATCACAAGAATAACTTAGGGTAGAAATAACAAGCAAAGAATGCAAGTAGGTTCTGTAGACTGTATTCTCAAACATGTCTAGTCTGTGTGAATGTAATGTGCAGTAATGTGATGTCACCACTTCCAGGGTCACATGGCAGCTACGTAAGGGTATATTAGCCTTGGTAATAGAGATGTAGTTATATGCTACTACACAACCTCAAACACTTAACAGTCACACAAAAGAATCACCTTGACTTGCATGGTTGGCATAAAGCCATCCATCTGATTGAGTAGCTCCAACATAGTTCTCTGAACTTCTCTGTCACCAGCCTTCTCACTGTCGAAACGCTTTGTACCTGAAAAAACAGTATCGTGGAATATTAGCATTGGTCATCCTAAACAATGGAATGGGAGGTAACTGTGATTCACATATTATGGACAACCAATAACTTACACATAAATTAAACAACATTGTACTTCAGAAAGATTCCTGTGTCATCGATGCTTGAAATGCAAATCAACCTACCAATAGCATCTAATTCATCAATAAAGATGATGGCTGGTGCCTTCTCTTTAGCTAGAGCAAATGCATCCCTGACCAGCTTAGCTCCATCGCCGATGAACATCTGTACAAGCTGAGGGCCAGCTAGCTTGAGGAAAGTGGACTTGGTCTGTGCGGCACAGGCACGGGCCAACAGAGTCTTACCAGTGCCAGGAGGCCCATACAACAGGACACCTGACAAACATAGTATATTCATCAAATACACAGCTAGTGCCTTCAATAGGCAATGGACATCTTCACAAAAAGGGTATATGTGTCCATCAGTTAACATTGTGATAAACAAAATATTACAAAGATTTCATGACAAGGGTTAGACATATTTTTGTCTGAAGTTATAAACATGATGAGATAATAATACATAACATTACACAAATTGGTCAGTCTAGACTGTTTAACAATTTAGTATCAGAATAGTTCTGCGATGACATTTGAAATCACATCCCTATTAAAGAGATGATACAAATGTGGCTTACAAACACTGCCTTGCTTAAGTTAACATAATCATGATGATATTCTCACCCTTTGGTGGCTGTATTCCAAGTGCTTCAAACCTATCTTTGTGGGTCATTGGCAGCACAACAGCTTCAATCAACTGTAATGCAGAAAGTAGACATATAATGTCATAATCCTCAGGCATGTTTTCCCCTAACTTACCATACCTGTAGTCGTTTACCAGTAATTGAGTATGAGAGCAGGTGAAGTCGACCTCATACATGTTACAATGAGTGAGTGAGTGAGTATGGTTTTACGCCGCTTTTAGCAATATTCCAGCAATATCACGGCGGGGGACACCAGAAATGGGCTTCACACATTGTACCCATGTCGGGAATCGAACCCGGGTCTTCGGCGTGACGTGCGAACGCTTTAACCACTAGGCTACCCGACCGCCCTATGTTACAATGAACAAATGACTGTCCCCTCTTTGAGGCAGTAACACATGGACAGATCTAATGGTACAAATCCTTGCATCGTTTTGTTGATTTAACTCTGACATTCACTGACCAAGTGGATCAGCCTTTCATTTGGCTATTCTCAATATTTTATGATTTATTACCCTTAATGCAAAAGGTATATTTCTGTCATGCGCACTTGGTTCAAAGACGGTGGCACCCATGGTACCACAGACAATTGATAAGTTTTGTACGCATTTCAGCAATAGAAACTTATTTGTTTAGTCCACTAATCTATTAATGATACCATGGGAAATTTCTACTAGTCCTTATGATACCTTAACTATCAGGCATTTCTATCAGTGCATTTGCGCAGAGGTATGTACTGTATTTCGTTCCAAGTTTTATTACTTCACCACTTGAGACCTTGATTTATATGATATTCCTAAACTCCGTAATTTTTTCACCTGGTTTTGTAGTTTGTGTCTTTTATTCAAAATACATAGGAACTACAGGGAAATTGTAGGAGCAAACAGGTGTGAATCCTTCCAGTTTTTACACACATTTCATGTACCAGAGGCAATATCTCCCAACAAATCAAACTTGATCAAATGATTAATTGTCCAATTCTGACTTTCATAAGAATACTGTTGTAGTGTCTTATTTCCATTAGGACATAGCCAGGTCGATTTCTAAATGTAATTCATTCAATATGAATATGATGAATTCTACACTGCAATCATGGTAAGTTATAAATAACTAGTTACATCTAATTCATTTCACATCTCCTAAAACACTGTCTGAGTACCCTTGTTTTGGGTAAAGACTTAAGACAATAGAAGGAATGACCTCTTGAATCTGTTTGTCCAGTCCTCCAATGTCACTGTACTGCTCAGTGGGGCGCTCGTCAACTTCCATCGCCTTCACTCGGGAGTCATACCTGCCACAAGAAACCGAGGTGTTATAAACAGCTAGTTAACACAAACAATCACATTTCAGTGTTGACAGAAATGTTTGTTGACAATCTGCAATATTCAGCATTTGTAAACAAATTAGCAGGTCTAGCTTGGACAAGACAAAACAGTGTTTGATAGTTTGAAGACACACAATCACAGTCAAATGTCACTGTCAGAACAAGCATGAGGCAACCTGGGCCTGTTCTGGCCCACACTCCCACAGGACTACACAAACTTTGAGAGGTTCAACAGTTACTGTTTCAAAGTGAATAACCTCTAATATAAACTTTAAGCAACTTTACTACAGAAACAACCAGAACTATATGATGAGAATGGATCACTTAGATTTTATTAAGTGAGCTATTGATAAAGTTACTGGATCTTATATGGCAACCACACTACTTACTCTTGAGGAAGTGTCTCCAGTATGAGATAGGAGTCCTTGTTTACTCCCTGAAAAACAGATAACCACATGGACAATTGATGTGCAGCATAGATCAATATATGCAGCAACCAATGCTTCTGTTCTTATATCTGAGAAATGGTGTCTTGATGGAAGCTTAATAGCAAAATTCTGAACATACATTCTGTAAACATTACCCACCACTAGATCAGCTGGCTTGAGTTTCTCAGCATCTACGAGGCCAATAACAGGTAGAAAGTAGGTCTGCAAGGTAAAAGTGATTCTTCTGAACAGGCTAGGTGAGATAATGCATAAGGTGAGGTGAGTTGAAATGGGGCTTAACATCATGTTCAAGATTATGCACTTATATAGTGACATGCATGCATGTGTGTGCGTATGTGTGGCACATGTGCTGCTTGTCTGGACTAATGCCGATTTTACAGTTATAGCCCATGACGCAGTTTAACATGAATAAACCAAGTCAGACATAGTAGACTGACTTCGAGGCGACAAGTCCTTGTTTTAGCCCCTTAATGCTGAACGTCAGGCAGGGTAACAACCAGTACCATTTTTTAACGTCTTTTGGTACAACGCGACCAGGGATCAAATGCTGACCTTCCACTCTCTGGAGGCCTTACCTCTAGACCATGGAGGCAGTCGTAATGCATGAGGAGAGGAAAAGGGAAAAAACCAGATACATTTCACAAAAATGCTTTGACAATATAAAGAATTACCAGTTATGCCAATAATCAATTGTTATCCATGTTAAGTCATTCACACAAAAATATAAAAAATGATTTTAACATTTGAAACATCACTTTCCTCAAGTGAAAAGTTAAAAACATAGATGAATAAGGTGACTGAAGATACATTTGTTGTAATGAAGGATGCTCTTCACAGCCAATTATGCGTGAGTACCTGTCTGGTGGATGTCTTGATGACAGCACACTTGCCCTTGCGTTGCGAGTCCAAGTCTATGTTAGCCCCATCCTCCTCCTCCTGGTCGTGAGGGTCCATGTCCAACAGCTGACACACACAGCACAAGGTTCACACACAAGTCATGTCCCAGACTAGACACTGGTCTGGTGCAATCATTCATTGAAAGTAACATCACCAGTTGTGGAGAATAGTAGTGTAACTTGACATGTTCAAAGACCATTAAGAGTTAAAATTATTATAGCTATGAGCTTATTTTCATAAGCATTTCACAAACTGTTATCATGGTTACACAATTCTAGTAAAATCTAGATATTTTTTTATATTTGTATACTTATCCTGCATTACTCCTTAATGCATTCACTGCTTACGTTTTGACAGTAGCAAAGTGGTGATTGATCCTGCTGATCCATTCAGAAGCCAGACCCCCTAAAATGTCTAAAGATATTGTGGGGCTGCAGGTCTGGGATCATTAGCCTTTTCTTTACAATAGGTCTCAAAGGATAACCAGTTATCATAAACCCCATATCAATGGGGCCACTGAAATGCAGCTGGTAGGACCACAGACTGGTGGTGGATACAACTGAACTGGGGACCTGAGGAACCGCCGGTCGCTAGGGTGGATATGGATAGACACATGCAGTAGGCATCCTGCAGATCGAGGCTGATCAGGGAGTCGTAAGGTTGTGTATCATCCACATCTTGTTCGAATCCTGCTTGGGAATTAGAAAAATGGGAGAATAGAACCCCGGTAGTTGCACTGGCGTCTGCACAACCTCTATGGCTCTTTTCTCCAACAAGGTCTGTATGTTGGTCCCCAACAACTGATGTTGTATTCTGGGGTAAAGCCCCTGCTCCAGTGCCATTGTCAAGCTGAGGCAATACCCGTACCTCAAGATGTTGAAAGCATATGTGTCTGCCATACCAATCCTATTTCAACAAAACAAGCCTTGTCTCCCAACTCCTGGTGTGTCAACTATTGGGACGACTTGTGGTGGCAGATCCCAGTCGTGATTGTCCACTGGGTCCATGTTTCCCCCTCTGGCCCCTGCTCCTACCCTGGAAACTACTCCTACAGGATTGATAGGAGCTGTGGCCTCTGCCCTTGACTCGTCCTTTGCTATGAAAGAAGGACTGATCAGTAGTCTGGTCCTTGAGGGATGAGCGCCTGGGTTGATAATTCCCTGACTTTGACACACATTGACCAGGGTTCTGGGATACAGGTTCCAGAGCATTGAGTGCTGTCTTATCTTGAGCACAGCTCGAGACTTTGCTATGCATGTCAGTTATTTGGCCATTAAATAATGTTGAGGCAGACTATGGCTGATGAAGCAGCCGGTGCTTAAATTCAGAATCCGAATTGAATAAGGTTAGATACCCCCGTGGGCGGGTGGCTGTAATCGATTTGGTCGATTTGCCTTTACTGGAACTCTACCACCGTCTGGAAATGATCGATCCTATTGACATTGGTCTCCGAAAAAAGACTAATGCCAACAAGGGTTTTAAGGACTGCCTGATTTCCCTTTCTATGAATACGAAACGGCTGTCAGGGATAATGGTAATAGGCTTGGACGATCCTGTCATACTATAGAGATCCTTGTCCAAGTCGTGAGCCTGGTCAGCCACCCCAAAGGCGTGTATGGGAAAATCAGCTTTCTAAATCTTGGCAGCTTAAAAGCTGGTGAGAGGGTAAGTTCAGAAAAATCCTCATCCAGCGCTCTGACCATATCCTTTAAAAGGGGTCAGGTGGGATGGACGAAGGGTGCAACCAGATTGTGTTGTCGACACCCTAAAGACAGTAAGCCATCCAATCTGAGCAAGGCCTAGGTGCTTAATCTACTTCACAAGCGACTCGGCTAGTGACACCTCAGAAGAGTCCGAATGAAAAGGATTGCATCCACGTCAGATCCACAAAAGACTCCAATGGGAAGATAGCTTGGGGTGCTGCCGGGAACCCAGGAGGTGCAGATAATAATTGGCCCTGAGGGTTGGATAGCGCAGTTGTAGCCACTAGGCCTGTTAGCACAACCAGGTTTGCGTTGACAGGTAGTATAGGCATAGTCGCATTGCCCATAGGCGCGCGCACGCAAAGTATAGTGCAGTATAATGTGCAAGCATAAAAAACACATCAAATTAAATTGAAATAGCAAACAAGCAGGTTTTTCTTAATACAGAGCAAACCAAACAGTAAATTAACATATAACACTATAATAACGGTACAATGGTTTAAAGTGCAAGTAACAAGCGCTAACTGCTAAACACATATGCAGAAGTTACTACAAATACAGCCTCCAATTACAGAGGACTAAAGTTCACAATGATGGAAAATTAGAGTAATATAACAGTGAATGGGGTTTTATGGCGCCTTCAGCAATATTACAGCAATATCACGGCGGGGGACACCAGAAATGGGTTTCACACATTGAACCCGTCGGTAATCGAACCGGGGTCTTAGGCGTGACGAGCGAACATTTTAACCACTGAGCTACCCGACAACCTTGGATAAAGTGCTAAAGGTATTTACATGCAATGCTAATAGCTAGCTGGCCATGAAATACAGGTTAAAATTTGCGATGGACCATGACACATTAGCAATTAAATATAGCCCTACAGAAGAGTGAGTTGGGTTTAACGCCGCTTTTGAAAGGAACAGCACTTTCCTTTCATCACCAGGATCAAGCACAGCTTCACCACTGTCAAAAGGTAAGCAGTGAATGCATTAAGGAGTAATGCAGAATAAGTTAAAGAAAATAACTACACCTAAATACATTCACCATTAATATATCATGATAATATGAGTTTTTAGGTTTCAATAATGAAAAAAAGAACATCACAAAATATCAATACCAATCATAACTGATTATGACTGATTGGTTGGAACAAACCAATAAACACAGATAATGGTTACCCTGATATTTCAAACAGATAAGTCAATACTATAGAGGTTCAAACAGTAGTGTTTTGGGAATGATTTTAATCATTGATAGTTGGATGACAACCCCAATTTTTTTTCCATTTAACATTTTAAGATACCTGTGAACCAAAATTACACAATATTATACAATCACGACCAACAATGAATTGGCTCAATTTTGAACAATCAACCCAAACAAAGGAGAGTTTAGTATCATTAGATCTTATAGTGCTATCAACAAACAATGAAAGAAAACAGTTTTGCTCAATGCGTAGTAACAGTTCTTAAATGATTCTGCATGATGAATGAATCATGCAGTGTTGTAACGGAAACACTGCCAGGTTAAGTTATGTAAAAAAGGCTGTATCTTGTTGGCTAGAATACGAGATACCTTCCCCCATGTTGGTAAGTGGTGTGCACCAGCTCCTTCCCTAGCAATGTTTCCTAAATCTCTTAGCTGCTATTTTTACCTGCTTTGCTAAAATAAGAGGGGGAGTGGAGGGCTGACCTCTACACAAATACTTGAAACAAATGCCATATTAAGTAAATGTCATTTTTACTTTCCAAAGTTAATGAAACGTGCTTGTCAAAATATGGACCTGAGGGATGGTAGCTATGATGTTGCCACATGCCATTGTACATGTTTATCTCCAAACTTCAGGGAAGATATCATGCTGCAATTGTTTATTTTTGAATAAAACATTTTAATTGATTGTTTTAACATATCCCATACAAACCTCGATGACATTTGAGACAAGGTAGGGAAGCGTTTTGTTGACCTTGATCTTCTCATTGTTTTCTTTGATCTTCTCCTTCTGAGCCTGGAGCTCATGAGAGATCCGCATGATTTCAGATTTCATGATCTGCAAACCAAGGCAAGGGAGTCAGCCATAATCAGAGAAGAACAGGAGCAGAAGCTCTCCATTACTAATGAATAAATATCTTACATTAGCAGTGTCCAACCCAGAATTGAAAATAAAGGGGGGACTTGTCCCCCCATCATGTAGAAAATAGGAGGGATTTTGAAAAAGTAGGGGGGATAATTGCTTTCTTAAAAAATGTCTTATTTTGTATTATGTACTGGAACATCATCATATAAAAAGTGTAACAGATCAGAATAAAGAACTGAAATGAATAACAATGCCTTGTGCTTTTTTCTATTTTGATTAAAAAAGCCTGTAATTCTTTGGTTTTTGCACGACATGGTCATTCACTATTCAAAAGATCATCTGCTATGACAGTCGGCGATTCATATTGTGTGATTTCAGAAACGAAACTAAAACGAACTAAAATACTCAAAAATATTTTCAGAACTATTCAACATGTTCAAGATAGAATATTTATTGTCTTTAAACATCTTGTCAAAGGTTTTTGATTACTAAACAACAAAATGAGGGGCGATTTGATTTTTTTTAGCATGAATCGTGCAATGGCACGGCCTGGGTTGGACACTGCATTAGACATACATAGAGGTTATCACGCGAGTGTGTTTGGTGATGGCAAATATCCTGCATTAGGAATAAACATTGTATTTAGCGAGCCTTGGCGAGCTAAATACATAGTGTTGAATACATGTACAGGATATTTACCATCCTCAAACACACAAGCGTGATAACCTCTTTATCATATAATGTCATTCTTTAATTCTGTGCTTCAAAATCGCTTTCCCTCTCTCACAAACATTACCGAAACATTGCGAGTTTACCTGGAATACGTGCATTAATATTTATTACGTCACAGGGTAAGTGATGTGTCAGTCGGACAGTGACAGTAGCCAATATAGTTCCAACTGAAATCTGTTTCTTATCCAGTGGCGAAGCAACATATACGCAAAACAACAATTGTTTTTAATTGCCTTTCGCAGCAATCCATCGGTCTGTCCGCTAGAGTAACTGCCCTTTGTCAAAGGGAAGCTACTCTTACCCTAGTCTATGAGACGTCATGGCCACGGTCAGGCGTTGTTGACAGTCGGTCTGTCCTGTCATAACGTTAAGAAGTGTAGTCAGATGTACACACAGTGACAAAACGAAACAAGGTAACAATTCAAATATATTTCGGCCAAATCCAACTATTTTAATTTGTGGAGAAGGTTTCAAGCTGCACACGTCTACAAGCACAGATATGGCTACTGATCCCACTTGGCTAGGCCTCGTGCCCTCACAAAATTGTTTCGAAATTTATATCTCCAAAGTTGCCAAAACTTATAAAATGCCTTAGCTACGTCACAGTTAGACACGGATTTTCAGTATATTAGACTGTTCTTTTGATAATGATAGCAATTATCCCTGTAGTTTATCCAGATTCCAGATGGTTAATTCTGACTCGATCGCCGAATGACGAGGGCGACGCCATGTTTGTTTATAAACAGTGAAAGTAGTCCCTACTTGACCTTTGATATTTGCATCTCTATCATGTCTATCCGCATATGACCCCAACGGATATCGTTTTTATCCGTTGGCTTTATCCTGCCGAGAAACCTACTCATTATATGATAAAGTGTACTTATCATGGTAATTATCATGTAAATACAAACTTTAGGAAACAATGAACTTCTTCGTAACAAGTTTTACATTGTTTTAAGTGAAAACTTCATTGTTCTTGGAACTTTCTGAGATCATATTCTAATAAAAATATTGCAAAATAATTTACATTACCATGTTTACAGAGCAATCTTCAAAAGTAAAAAGAAAAGGCTGCATGTACTTGTCCGGACTAGTGGCGATTTTATAGTGCTAGCCCACTGAGATATTTTAACATAAATACCAAACTCAAACACTAAATTCGGACTCAAAGCCGATTAGTCCTTGTTTTAGCCCCTTAATGTTAATGCCCCTTGTTTTAGCACCTTAATGTTAATGCTGATGCCAGGCAGGGTAACAACAAGTGCCATCTTTTAACATCTAATGGCATGACGCAGCTAGGCACTGAACCCCCAACCTTCAACTCTCCAGGCGGATGCTCTACCATGTCTGCCACTAGACCATGGAGACATTCCCAAAATGATCAATGATTATCATGATTATAACATGTATATCACAGTGACCTGTTCATTAAAATGGCCTAGACTAGAAACAACTTATGCATTGGTACAGTATGTATCTTTGAAAAGTTACATTCCTGGGACATACCTTAATCTCGTTATCCAACAGACGTGTTCTGCTGACAATTTCATCTGTCGACATGCGCAATACCTCCTCCCCAAGAGATTCCTGAAAAACATAAAATAACAGTACATGAACATGATTAACGCAAGCCATACCTTTAACCAATACATGCTGAAAGAATATCAAGTTTTGCTTTTTCAATTAACGGAATATGAAATGTTGAGCTTGCCCTCTTCTTGGATGATGACAGCAGTTGGACAATTGCTATATTAGTTCGGAAAAAACATGATAATAAAGACAATGTTTGGAAAGACTGTCAACATGCTTCATAAATATGATCTTTCAGTTTCATCACTATGACCCCCTAATATATCTAACATTTGTCCCGCGTGATTCAGTGTAGGATATGGTCCTTTAAGATAGGATTAGTTTTGCTTGTGGGCTCATTCTCGGCCTAACATGCAAAACTAACCGTGACTTTGAGGACCATATCCAACTTAAACCAAAGTCCTGATTTAATGCACATCCACAGATATTGGAGGCTATTCTCGTCACCGAAAACAGACAGGAACTGTACGTGTGACAACGTTTAAAAAATACCATTGCCCGACACCCGTGACAAGTAAGGTTTTGATGTCAGGCAAGTAATTTATGTTTTCTAGCATGCCCGTGGACAAGTAGAACACACAAAATGAACTGGGTCAAGTTTCACGAGAATGTAATCATGTGATCATGTTACAATATTTCATTGGCTAATATTTTACTTATGTCCCAGACTGGCAATCTAATTTGCATACAGTTACACCAGTCAACCAATGGGATTAATACACATCGATTTCAGGCATATCAACAATGAGAACCAGGCTTGTCTCATTTTCTATGGCACATGCTTCTTGGAAATTGAATGACGAACAGCTGACTACATTTCTTGGAATTTGTAATGTGAGGTAGGTCTACTGCTGACTTTTGAAGCTTCCTTATAATGAAATATTATTATGATATATGTATCCGTGCTCTGGCAATTAAACTCTGTTTCAAGGCATCAACATGGTCAATAGCGATAATCTGGCCGTGGTTGCTGTAAATAACAGTGAGTTCAGCAATCTACCTATCACTTCACACAGGATTTCGCCTTAATGAATGTAAACAAATATTGAATGAAATTTTGAATAAAATAAAAAAAATATATTAGAAACATAAGTCCAGATATACAATGAACACATTTTTATAACCAGATAGTATCATAATGGGATTAAATTGCGTGTTTCAGTTAGGATTTGTTGACATGGTATTTCCGGTGTTACGTGCTCGCTCTTTTAGATGAGGGGAAAAACATTGTCAGTGTAAGACTTGAGTTTATTAAATATGTAAGTAAATTTTGGGAGTCATGCATTACCATGCACTATAACCGAGTTGGCGCTATACTGAGGGGCGCAATAGCGAGCGTACACTGTATCTCTGATTCTCAGTTCTGTAGATGTAACATTTTACTGAATTTATTAGCTTGAATTTGTTTGGGCAAGTACATTTTAATATAGGGCAAGTAAGAATGTTGGTCATACTTGCCCTTGGTCAAGTAACATTTTTCATAAACTTTCAACCCCTGTGTGAACACGCCAGAGTCCGAGCAAAACTTTTGGAGGTCATATCGTATAAAAACGCAAAGCACGTGCAGAGCTTTTTTGGACAGCAGTTTTGGCAAGTGGTCGGCACAGACACAGACAATGATTAATATTGGCAGAAAAATTTCATGTGCACCATAAATATCACATTAAAATAAAATCGCTGTGAGTTTTCAGAATCATGAATGATAATTACATGTACAAACAATTTGTCATGATCACCCATGATGACCTTGAAACAGCATGTGTAACCATTCATTGCATGCATAAAATCACACGAGTAAGAAATTTGTCACACATTCACAATGCACGTGGGAGTGGGACCAAGTCAATTCAAACAGAGTAAATCGTTGAAGTGTTTCAACTGTGAAAAGCAACTTTGTTGACAGCCAAACCTCAAAAATGCTATGCCACGCCCATCAGAAAATAAGTAGTTGCAAAAGATGAAATGCTTAAAACCTGAACTTCACAAAACGTTATCACTAGGCATTTTGGAGTTTTATCGTAACACCATACAGTCACTCTTGGGTCAGTACCAACAGACTGGCAACACCAGGGAATGACCATGTCTCCACGTCCACGAGTAAAGTCACATCAGCCAGATAATCATATCCATCTGGCTCACATCTTCCTGCAGCATCCTTGTCTTACATCCGATTAGTGCAAGGACTGTGAGGAATTGGTTACGAGAGCATAACATTCAACCACAATGTCTAGCTGTAAGTCCAATGAATCTGTGACATCATGTAACTGCACGCCAGGCATGGTCAAGACAACTTCTTAGGCTCAGGTTACAGGACCGGAGGTTAGTCCTCTTCACAGATGAGTCCAGGCTTCATCTTGACAACAGTGATTGCCGTCAGACAGAACGTTACGCTGACGCAAGTGTTCAACGTTCTCCATTTGGTGGTGGGAGCGTAATGGTGTGAGGAGGCATCACTGCACATGACAAGTGATCATTGATGACAGGTGTACCTTACCATGACAAAGCTATCCATTCTCACAATCATTCAGACCCATGGATGTCACATCACGTTACAGCAGGACAATGCACATCCTGACATTGCATTAGTGGTCAGACTTCATTGGAAAAGATCCCCACACTCCCTTGGGCTGCGTTTCACCAGATTTGTCACCCATAGGATATGTGTGCGATGAAATGAAACATTGTTTACGCCGACTTCCAAATCAACCGGTGACGTTGGTCGAGGTGAGACAGGCCTTGGTCCAGATCTGGATTGACATCCCAAAAGCCTTCCTCAACCATCTTGTGTCATCAGTGAAGTGCTGTTCTCATGCTTGTGTCACTGCTAATGGTGATCATACACAAAACGTACTTGTGAACGGACAATTGATCCTACGCCATTTCAGCCTGAGATTACGTTTACAGAGGGCATGTGTTGACATTGTCATGATGAATTCATGTTTCATTGATATCAACATATATTGTTCCTGTTGCAAAATCGTTCTTTGTTTGGGCTTAGTTATTACTTCACATGATGCACAGGAACTTCTTTCAGCTAGTATATTTTTTCTATTACTGGCAAGTGATCTTTGTGCGCACTATTCCCAGGGATCATGATTATGTATGACTGACACTCTCCATGTTCACAACAACTGGAGGACCATCAAAGTATTGGAGAGTGAACATTAGTTGGAAACTACTGAAATGCTTCTGCACTATATACAGACTATTGGGAGGATTCCATGGTGAATGCAAATGACTCAGTTGCAACTAACATTCATCCAACTGTGCAGCAGTAGACAGTAAAGTTTTTGGTCCACTAGTCCTTATAATGAAATATATAGCAAAACCCTTAAAATGACAAATTTCTACTAGTCCTTATCATACCTTAACTTTTGGGCAGTTTGGCAAGGACCATAGGACTAGTGCCAATTTCTAACCCTGCTTTGTTATAAAGGGGGATAATCTCGATTACACACTCTGAGTCTGATGTTTCAGGGAATTGCCCACAGTATGTACAATAGAACGTCAGTAAGCAGATCATACAAACCTGTGATTTGGGTAAACAGGGATCCTAATGACTGTGAAGGCAACTAGCGTGGGACTTTTCCAACAACATCAGTATAAGAAGTAGATCATGCAACTGGTTTTGCGAGACAGGATACATGAAATGCAGAGTCTCGACTTTGAATTATCCTGGAGCAATTTAGTATATAAGAATGTAATAAGTTCCTAGCACTCTATTGTTAGTTGTAAGACTGAAAGGTCATTGTATCAGTTGGTCAGTGAGTGATGAGTGAGTGAGTTGGGTTTAACGCCGCTTTTAACAGTATTCCAGTTATATCACGGCGTGTCAGCTTAATGTGGGAGGAAAGCCCGAAGTGATGCAGGTCTCAGACGTGTATGGTGCTGACAAACAAAGAAACATAATTGGGGCGAACTGGGATTCGAACCCACAATCATAGGTTTCTGGCGTGCCCAAGGGATGCAACTCTGCACAGCGAATCACGGCGCCTTTGACGACTGGGCCGCCCGTGTTCCCCAGTGACCTGGGCTGAAGGGGTCATCGTCAACAAGGGTACTACAGATATGTATCCCAGGTACTCTTCGGTATGCAGCAATGTACCCTAACTAAAAGCAGAATACATAAAAGCAGGGGTAGAAACTAACATATTTAGTCCACTAGTCCTTATGATGTTAACATATAGCAAAACCCTTAAAAATGACAAATTTCTACTAGTGCTTATGATACCTAACTATTGGCCAGTTTGGCAAGGACTACAGAAGGACTGCCAATTTCTAACGCTGAAATGGTACTCAAAGATGAGTTCCTTGCATGCTTGCATAGACAAGAGTTTCTGAATGTCAACTGGTTTATTGGAAACTGACTCGATTATTTACTGGCCACAATGAACTGGCTAAAACATATCTTACTGGAGCATAAAACAATAAATAAACAAAACAGTAGTATCACCTGTGCCCCCAGTAGTATCAAGGACCCAATGAGCCCAATGAGGTGAAAAGAAACCCTTAGCTTTATTTCCAAACTTTCATTGTATGAGGTCTGTGTAGGGAGTCAAGGAGAGCTTATAATATTTCATACCAAGGGGAGGGATGTCTATTTCGCCTAAAAGCTAGGCCCAAAAAGATAAAACATTGCCTTGTTTAACATGGCTTTGGCTTCCATCTGATTACAACACAATTAGATGTGAGTGAGGGGAGAAATCATTGCAATGCATTAACATCTAATGGATATATCTGTATCGACAATTCTGATAAGTTAAAACATTAATAAAATCACCAGTCACCTCTCCATCATCCCAAATAGCTTTATCTTCTAGTGTCGCCATGTTGAAAATGAATCGGCACTTTCCACTTGTTCAAAAGCTGGATCAGTGAAAGGAAAATAAATATATTACTTTATAGTTCAGAGCATGACATAAGTACCTTATGTTCGATTCAACATCAGTTAAACTGGGTTAGACTGTATCTCAAATATAAATATGTTTCATGTTTATTTTGAATTGTGATTGTAACAATATGACTGATACAATATTAACATTCCGTTTTCATTTTAGAAATAGCGTGAATTTTATCCTAGTGCCTCACATTTACTGATGACGTAGTTCACAATCAGTTGAAGAGACGACATGTGTCTGATGATCATGAACTGAAACTTACTTTGTGATCTTATGCAAAGTTGAAGTAAGTAGTGCATGTCATAACTTATGCCCACGCTTTGGCGCAGAAAATTGCAATTTTATCAAATGTGTTGTTTTACAAATTGCTCATCACCACAGCGAACACAAATTCTCACTGTCGGGTGTCACGGTTTTCGTGCATCACACTTATCGTATTAGATCTATTATTAATAGTTCTGTTTTCGATCTGTACTCTATTAACAGCTGGTTAATGAACAGTTGGTGAATTAGTATTTGAGAAGCATATTTTACGGAAGGAGAGGTGTTGGCATTTTACCGGGAGCCCTTTTCCTTCCCCATTTCGGCGCAGATGAAATCATGTTGTATCTCTACATCAGGGGTCATCGATTGTGCATAAGCTCCTTCCAGTGATCTAACATTTCTACACATGCAATGTCATTGAATAAGCCCAGTGATGTGGAGAGTTTTGAATGTTTGTTTACTAAATATAGGCTGCGGCAGCACATTTTATAGCGAGCTTTGGTTTATGAAAGCACTTTTATTTTCAATATATTTTTTATTTCGTTTTATTTTCGTAATTTTATTGACTAAAATGATTATAAATGGGAACTAATATACATATATTACTTTATAAATCATTAATTTATATTATCATGCACAGGAATGCAGTTTATTAGGTATATTATATTGGCACTGAACACATCCAAATGTTGCTGGTGTTAAGGTAGGTTACCCCAAACTCTATCCTTAGCCCATTGATCCCCTTTACGATCAGTCACCCCTTTACAATCCTTTTTCAGTTTGCACCATATCGGCTCATTTCTTACCACAAGGTAAATTTGCACTTAGTTTAACACTGTGGACGTAGCTAACTCGCTTAGCTAACAATCCGGAGGTCACGAGTTTGCATCCTACAGTTTCTCACAAAAACTGGTTGCTTGTCTTTGACACATGTGGTCTACGGCAGACATCGTCCTCACGAGAAGTTGTGGTACTGTATTCTAAAGGTGCTCCTAGTTATATTACCATGATTACCACTGGAAGAAATATTTTAGAAAATGATTTCGGATAAGACACTCGCCCATAGTTGGACCATCTTCTTGAGGCAAGCATGTCTACTAGCCTATAACAAAGCCTGGTTTCTACCCTTGCCACATCAAGGCCACTTTTCTTGGCTCAAAACTGGCTCCACCTCACATAGATAACGACTTCTGTCCCTTGTAATGAAAACACGATATCCAATCATATTGTATACCTTCACAAACATGGCGACTACCATAGACGATGACCTAGTCAATCAGATAACAAAAACATTCGCGATTACATACCTGACACAAAAACATAGGCAATCGTTGGGTGCTTAAAAGATGAAAAAAGATATATTTGTGTCAACAAAGACAGGCAGCGGTAAATCACTTTCATACAAAGGTGTACCAGTCGTGGATGTTGATTTTGTGAAACATTCTCTGATTGGACTATCGATATGTGGGATAGTCCATTCATATTTAGCACAGGAAAGTGGGCTTGGTGTGGCAATGGTGGAAACAAAACTTTGATAAAAAGGCTAGTGGACGCTCTTGCCTCAGGGAGATGTAGCTGGACTTGCTTCCAAAACCATTGCACACAAATTTTGTCATGGTAAAGTCTTTGTTCGAAAGTAAATCAGAAAACTCAGAAAACTGCAAAACTATCACTTGAGCATGTTGAGAAGTTGTTGGTGCAAAGTGTTTAATAGACATGATAGATGGAGGTACATTACAATGGTACAATAAGATGCATCCTTATCCCATATCAGCACCATGGTTGAGATACACACCTCCCACCCAATTAGCACATGCTTTCTTTGTGAAAATAGGGTTAGTGGCGTTCCAAGAAAATGAAAACAATATTGACATCTATAGGCTGAAATAGGTTAGTGGCGTTCCAAGTAAATGAAAACAATATTGACATCTATATTCTATAGGCTGAAAGTGTGTTGCATGATTAGCTCGTAACCATGGTAACCTGTCAGTTATGCAGCCAGTCCATGAAGTCTTACAGTGTTCCTGTTTACCGGTAATTTCCAGTTTTTTACCGGTAAATAAAGTTAGGCTTGGGCAGGTGATCCATGTGACTGTCAGTCCCTGCGAACCAGCAAATAAATTACATCATCATAATGTACATTTTTAGGGCTCCAAGCCGAAAGGCTGTAGAGCCCTATTGTAATTGTTTGATTTATTATTATTATTTATTATTCCGCCGATTTTTGTACCAGACTTAGCAAAATAACCACTGGCTCGATTTTGTTCAAATTTTGTGTGTGTTTGTAGACTGTTGGGTACTAGTGCCTGCCAACCCGTGCTTGTCTTAAGAGGCGATTTTCGGGATTCGAACATTGTCTGGGTGGTAAAAGGGTTTAACACTCTGGTTAACTCTGGCACACGCCAATTTCGTAGCTGTGATGTCCTGCAAACAGTGACTATCTTTTGAGGGAGTTGGTACAAGCAAACCCTCTGAGGATTCGAACATGAGAATTCAAGGTCGGAAATGGGTTAAGAACTCATGTGGTGATGTCTCACAAGCGACTCCCTACGTTTGACTGCATTGGTACAAGCAAACCATATGTGGATTTGAAAATGGACGGCGTCAGAAATGTGTGTAGAACATCCCGAGAGGTTCTGGGACGGGTCAATGTTGTAGCGACGATGTCTCGCAAGCGTGTCCTTACTTTTGACGGCGTCGATACAACCAAACCATTAGGGGATTCGAACATGGATGAGGTCGGAAACAGGTTCGGCACTTTATCTAAGCAATGCGACAGAAACTGACAAACTCAGAACGCTTATCCGTTTGACTGTAGCTCAAATGACAAAGAAGTGACAGTCTGTTATATAGAGTCACCAAGCTGAAAGGCTGAAGAGCCCTAGTGTTATCGTTCGATTTAATATTATTATTATTCCGCCGATTTTTGTACCAGAGCTAGCAGAATAACCACTCGCTTGATTATGTTCAAATTTTGTATGTGTATGAAGACCGTTGAATACTAGCTTCCGCCAAAATGCCAAGGCCATAGCCCCAATGGCCAAGGGCAGATAACTGAAAAACAAGTATTTTTTGAAGATGTATTTTGCACTGTTGCTCCACAACCGCTTGTCCGATTAATTTCAAACCTTGCATGTATCTGCTGCTTCAGTTCCTTGACATGTTTTGTTCTTTGACTTTGGTCATTGGTCATGTGGTTGGATTCAAGGTTTTCACACGGTTTTTGGGTACCAGTCTTCAAATCCTATCTCCTCTGAACCCACTGCATGAAATGATTTCAAACCTTCTGAGAATTGTCTCCATACATAATACATCAAACTCTGTTAGCCGTTTTTGGATATCTTTCTTAGTGACCGCCCTATTAGATTTTGAATTTGATAAAAAAAATTCACCGGAATTTTACTTTAAAGGTCATATCTTGTAAGGTTCTCCACAGAAACTATTGAAAGTTGACATGAAGTTAGTCGGACATATGTACCTCATCTTTTGTTCTTGGTTGCATGTTAAAAGTAACACCGCTTGGTGGTAGTATTTGATTAATATTTGGGACACCCCTGAAACACGCCAATTCGTAGCGGCGATGTCAGGTGACTATTTTTGGAGGGAGTTGGGACAAGCAAACCCTTTGAGGATTCGAACATGTTTAAGGTCGGAAATGGGTTTAGAACAGACTTGGACACCAATGCGTGACAATTTCGTAGCGGCGATACCCTACAAGTGGTGCCTACATTTGACGGATTTGGTACAAGGAAACCCTTTAAGGATTCGAACATGGACTTTGTGTTACTTGGAGCCCGCCATTGCTGCTTGCAGCTTTAATTAATCTTTGTTGTTGAGCAAAACATTAGCGATAATCAGTAGTCTCGAACCATAGTTAAATATTCCAGGAAAAAGAGAAAATAGTGGCTGAACTTTGTATGAATGACATGTAAATCTGACTAAGTTACTTCAGAGATGACATGATTGAATTTGTCAACCATGAACTTTCACAGCATTGTTGATCATGTTGAAAGAATTAAAACTAGGTAAAAGTTGGGACTGACAATAATTAGGGGGGAACTGGTAAATTTTGGAGTTTCAAAACCCAGCGGGAACACTGAGTCTTAATTTCACAGTGTGTTCCCAGACGAGGGATTGTATAGGAAACATTTAAGACACTTATTATATATTATTTTTGCATTTATAAAACTGATTAATGTTACGTAATCTTTCTATTTCTGATGCAGATTTGAGCATGCCTCGTCTCCCTCCTCGTGTCAATGACATGGCTATACGTCTGATGCTGTCAGGCTGCACCAACCGGCCCTTCTACCATATCGTCGCCATGTCGCGGAAGAAGGCTCGTGATGCCAAGGCCACAGAACAACTTGGCAGCTATGACCCAATGCCAAACGCAGACAATGAGAAGCTAGTGTCTCTTAACTTTGAGAGACTGAGATATTGGTTAGCCTGTGGAGCGAATGCCACTAAGCCAGTCCAACAGTTACTCGGTAGGTTGTCATGGAGGCATTTTGTTCACATCAGACTACCTGTATTAAAATCGGAGCAGCCTCAATCTAAATTAATATCTAAAACATGTTAAAGGTCGTCATCACACATAGGCTTGTGTAATATAAGCACAGGGCACTTCAGTGTTTACCATGTTTACTTAGTACATCATTAACTATCTGTATGGTGAGATATAGTTAATGAATATGTTGTCCTTCTGATTTGTGCAGGGACCAGTTTCTATTTTTACACCTTTAGGCCATGTGTTTCTTGAGATCTTCCAGCCTTTTCCCTTGTTTAGTGTGACTCAATGACCATCACATTTTCATCCTCTTCATGCAATGTTCTATCATCTCAGTACAAGTTTGTTAAACATACCATTGTTTCAGACAAATACATCTCTGTCATATGGGGTATCGTATTGCAGAGTTGTCTCCCTTATGTGTACCAGAAACCTTTGATTATTAATCATAATTTGCCCTGATCATGCTTTTAGGGTTATCAGGACCATACCCATGCTCATGGGTTTAATGTAAGTGGTAACCGTCTAAGACCTGCATCACTTTGACTTTCCACCCACATCAAGCTGGTATACTGTGATAAACTGTATTTTTTTAAATTATGTGTCTCCACATTAATGCCACTCCCCCACCCCATCCCAAGGGGAATGATATCCTTACCTTAATCCAATCAAGCAGCAGCATGTAGCACTGCTTATTAGCTCTGAGGAGAGCACTTCCATAAAAAATAAAAACAACACACAGTTTATATGTTTGTTCTGTTCACTGGCATTAAGGACGTTCAAAGGCAATAAAATAATTGAACCAACAACAGTTCACTGATTGGTATGCAGAGAACGTGTCAGCAAGCTTTAAGGTAGATAACAAGACAAAGTCTGTAGATCTGAGGAGTGTGATGAAGCCTACTGGTACATGTTGGGTCGTGTCTACCTTTGACAAAATGTTGCGTGGGTTGCATCTGTCTGGACTACTGGAGTGGTCAGTGATGCCTAGTTTGACACGAATGGGTAGAACTCTTGACCATGGCAGTGATAACTCACCAGATGCCTATTGTGTATTGTGCCTTTGAATGACATTGTCATATACTGGTTACAACTGCTGCTCAATAAACTGTGTTTGTGTTTATTATCATGTTGGTATTTCTGCTATCCAATGTGTGCACTGAGGCCATCTTATTGTTCATAGTCATTTTGGAGACCTAAAAATGCGAAGTTTCATTTATGCGAGCAAAGACCACTCACATTTTTCACATTTTATTCCCGCTCGCGTTAATTTCAAGATTTAGAGTGGTGAAATATAGGTCAGTGTGTCGATGAACCAAATTCACTCACTATATGTAATGTTTGTTTCAGGTCTTGCTGGCTTCTTCCCTGTTCACCCACTGAGCTACATCAAGGCCAGGAGGAACCACCGAGCAGTCACAGAGAAACACAAGGAAGAGCCAGAGGAGTCAGGACCTTCACCTACGTAGTGCTGCCCATCTTCAGCAGCCTGATGCCTTTTGTGATCTTGTTACTCCTTGTGGATGACTTGTACATTAGTTGTGTGGATGACTGATACATACATTAGCTGTGTGGATGAATGGTACATTAACTGTGTGGTAGTTTGAAACATTACACAAAGATGTGAAACAGTACTTTCAGACTGCTGCCCTCTGCCTACATACATCTATAGGAGTGTGTATCTCGGGCCTCAATCCAGTATGACGTCGCACGGCTGCAGTTACCTTGGCTGTCAGAGACATATGCTGCTAGATATCTTCTGTCAATACTGGGAACTATTGTTATGTTAAGCAAGTCCAATGCTACCAGAACAAATTGTCACTTGGCTACAAATAATAAACTTAACACCCCATGTACCTACTATGATTTTCAGGCATATCAGATGGGCATAATTGGTTTTACTTGAAAGTCTTCCTTGACAAATGAAAACAGGAATATGTTTGTCTACACAAGACTATGATTCATTTCCCTAAAGAAATCTTAGTCCTACAAGTCTAGAAGTACAAGAGGTACTTTGTTAACAAAACCTATCACCAAAACATAGTGTGTTACTATGTGTGTTAGTATGTATATTCACACTGGGGTATGTTATGTCCATTATTTCAGCAGCTTGCTTTCCTTTGCAACAACCCTGTATGTGCCTCTGCCAAGGTTGGATGATTTGATTTAGATGAGAGGGGAGGAAGCCTTGGTTCAAGGTTTAACATGATTGTGTAGAGTGCAGCATGTTCATAGCCCACATGGTGTAGGCAGGTTAGCACCCCACCTCTGTCAGAGATTTTGATTCAACACTCTCATGTAACGCCTGTGGCGTTAACATTCATATCTCCCTTGAGCCGGTCGCTGATGTTTGCATGTTACTCACTATTCTTGACTTGTGGATTATCAATCCCACAAGGAGTCCGACAATGTGTCCATGCGCAGTCAAACCCCATTGTCTCCAGCTCCTAGGGCCAAAAGGAATAGTTCAGCTTATTCAGGGTTCAACTTCTCTGGGGTTCAACACATCTGACTCGACCCTATTCCCGCCTGACCTGGCCAGCAGACAACAGAAAACAAACATCATGCGTGTCATGTTAATACCATTTATATAAGTAATAAAAAGAATCATTTGTGATTTCTACATTTATGTTTGTTTGTTTTGTTTCTTTGTTGTTTAACACTGCACTCAGCAATATTCCAGCTATATGATGGCGGTCTGAAAAATAATCAACTCTCGACCAGACAATCCAGTGATGGACATGATTTAAGAATCTATATACATTCTATTCATATTTCTTGATTATCATGACATCATATGACTTGTGATGTAAGGATACATTTTATCAGTGTAAGTTTGAAGCCATAGGAATATCAATTGAGTTTGAGACAAAATTGAATTTGACACACTTGGAGGTTCAAGATGGATTTCGAGACAACATGGCTCCAGCAAGTGAGTAAGTATGGTTTAATGCCGCTTTTAGCAATATTCCAGCAATATCACGTCGCAGGACACCAAAAATGGGCTTCACACATTGTACCCATGTTGGGAATTGAACCTGGGTCTTCAGCGTGATGAGCGAACGCTTTAACCACTAGGCTACCAGACCCCCCCTAAGATGGCTCCACTGTATGTTGCCTTCAAGAACATGTACTGTTTCCAGTACATAACGAGGCACTGCTTGAGTCTGTATTTTATGATCAGGTACACACACTACTGGAGTTATTGTTAGGGAGTATGGTCATGACATCTTCTCTATGACAATTGTTGCATGTACACATTGTACCTTGTTTGAACATTAACTCTCACTGATATGCATGCAGGGACTGTCTGCAGACTATACCAACATTGTGCATGGTCAGGTATTTAGCAATGTCGCCTTGTTTTCAGTTGTAATTGCTTGTTACAAGGCCCTCTCAGAAAAGAACATTTTGCCATGTTGGTTTGGCACAATAATGTTCTGTGAAACTGTTCATAGTGTAAAGAGCAGTTATCTCCCTTGGATTACCAACACACCACAGTTCAGGAAGAGACTCTCCCATGAAAATGATTTGGTAACACAGATTAACTTGCTTTATTGTACTGTGATCAGTTAATGGGTAATTATTCCAGGTTGTTAGTACATATGTGCGTCATGTGCATTGTGTATCCTGCAGTGCTGTGTACTATGCTGAAAAAGCGCTTTAACACCAAAACCCATCCATGAAGATATGAGTACATCACTAGGGAAGGATACCCCTTCCTATGCTACTGTAAAGAGGTGCACATCATAGTTAAAACATGGCAGGGAGAGCCTTGAAGACAACCTGTCCTGTAGGCCTGTGATGTCAGAAAGTGTCTTGCAATGATTTGTAGCTATGCCTGGGTTCACCACTACCAAAAGACAATAAGAACAATGGACAACATTTGACATCGCCACCACCAGAGAAGGAAAAGACTGTCCCATCAGCTGGAAAGGTTATGGCCTCCATGTTCTGCGATGCCGATGATGTCATCATCTCTTCCAAAAGGTCAGACAATGAAAAGGGCATATTAGGCTGCACATTCAGGATGAAATTAAGACTGTGACATGTGGGAAGCTGAGAAGCTCTTCCATGAGGACAATGCGCAAGTGCACAAATCAGTCATGAGAGTGAAAACTAACCACTGGTGTGGCTTTAAACTCTTTCTGCACCAAACTTATTCATCAGATCTGGCTCTGTCTGTTCCCAAAAATGAAGAGTGCTCATGTCGGAACCCATGTTGACTTGAATGTTGATGTCTGGTAGCTGGAGAGCAACTTTTTGGACAACCAAGAGGACTGGGATAAAATCCGTCAAACATCATTTGCTAAAGTGTATCGATGTGGAATAGGATTATGTTGACAAATAAATAATTTTAATGGCTTTAGGTCAAGTCTTTATCTGTGTGGCTCAGAACTTACCAACTACCTCTGGTGCATCCAGTACATCCCCTAGAAGAACCTCAGGCCACTTGTGTCCACATGTATGCACCAGCATGCTCAGTTTCATGAACCTGAGGAAGTTATGAAAGGAATCTGTCATGGTGTAGAGGCTGGAGAAGTTGCTGTGGTCATGTAACATCTTTACTTGTTTTCATGAAACTGATAGGTATTCAGTGAGCTGGTAGTGACATTATTTTAAACAGCAGTATTTGAACTGTATGAGAGCTTTGAAGGCTTAGTTCTTTCATCAGTCATCATGTGGAAAGGTGTGGTTGAAAATGTGGCTGCTGCACTGACAGTGGGTCTATATCCAGATGTCAACCTTAAAGTGATGGAGTGGATTGAGCATCTTCCTGGAGACCGAACGATTGGTGATTAGGTCTACTGTGTGCGTCTTGCCAAAAGACATTAAATATAGAACTTATTGTTGCCCTGCCTGACACTCAGATTCAGGGTATAGAACAAAGATTGGCGGGATCAGAGTTGTAATAATTTGTTAGAGTTGGGAATCCCATGTTAAGCTGCAGCATGGTGTCACATTGGGCGAGCTAGCACTATAAAACCAAATCAAATAGGGATATAGGTCAAGGTTCATGGTGGTTACATAAACCTCAAAAGCCCTGTTCCTTCATCTAGATGTGTTGGGTGAAACAAGGCCCTTACAGGCCAGCATATCTGTGTTGAGTGAAACAAGGCCCTTACAGGCCAGCATATCTGTGTTGGGTGAAACAAGGCCCTTGTAGGCAAGCATACCTGTGTTATGTGAAACAAGGCCCTTACATGCCAGCATACCTGTGTTGGGTGAAACAAGGCCCTTACAGGCCAACATATCTGTGTTGGGTGAAACAAGGCCCTTACAGGCAGGTATATCTGTGTTGGGTGAAACAAGGCCCTTGTAGGCAAGCATACCTGTGTTAGGTGAAACAAGGCCCTTACAGGCCAGCATACCTGTGTTGGGTGAAACAAGGCCCTTACAGGCCAACATATCTGTGTTGGGTGAAACAAGGCCCTTACAGGCCAACATATCTGTGTTGGGTGAAACAGGGCCCTTGAAGGCCAGCATATCTGTGTTGGGTGAAACAAGGCCCTTGTAGGCAAGCATACCTGTGTTAGGTGAAACAAGGCCCTTACAGGCCAGCATACCTGTGTTGGGTGAAACAAGGCCCTTACAGGCCAACATATCTGTGTTGGGTGAAACAAGGCCCTAAAAGGTGTTAAATCTGGTGAAAATGGAGGAACTTCAATGACTTCAAAGCCACACTCATCCATTGCAGCCATGACTACAACACACCTTTTGTGAGTTTTCCATGTTTTAGGATACTATTGGCCATCTTGGGAGGTAGTACGCGAGTAGAATCTTTTGAAATCCAAAAACAACCTAAGCCATCACATTGCCAGCTGATGGAACAAACTTCGCCGTCATCTCCGGAGGAGGAGACGTTAGATGATTCCTCTGTTGTTTAGGTCCTGGCTGATAGGGGTGAATCAAGATTAATCCATGGTTACAAATCTTTTAGCTGAATCAGCTTGGTCTATATCAAAATATAAGTTCCCACGAGTGATGTTGAACCTGGAGCATTTCTGGTCAGGAGTCAGAAACCTTGGGACCAACGTGCTGTAACCTTTGTCATGCCCTGTTCATTCCTCAGAGTGTCTTTAACTCGTATCATGAGAGATGCCTACTGTATTGTTGGCTGTGTGACGTGTGACGTGATCATCCATAATCATGTATATTATCAACATTTTCTTAGTTGTGGCAGTTGAAGGTCCACATAATCTTGATTTTTCTTAGAGGAGAGCCAGAGCCAGTGGAGAGAACTCTGCCAGTCTGAGTGCCTGGTTGTGTATTTGGTTATAATACAGCGTGTAAGCATGGTTGGTATTGTATTTACACATGCAAACTGTGCAGGGTTTATAGTCACAACATTTCAAGTATTTTTCCGAGATCCTAGCATAGCCCTCGAGGAGTTACCTCCCTTACATCACGAATGCGACTCAGCTGCTAACGTCCCGCGCCTCCGCAGATCCCGACTATAATCGGTTTCCAACGGATATAATATAATTAAGACATTTAGATGTTTGTGTGAGTCACGGCTTATTGGAAGTTATGCTTGAGGCTTAGCTAGTACATTCACCTGAAACAAATCAGAACCCAGAGTTTAAGAGAACCACATTTCTCCATCATCTTACACACGACTTTACCTATAAGAGATGATGTTTTTGATAAATTTACCGTGGTAAATTAAAGAGCGTGCGAATCCGTAAAACGATGAATTGAGTGTATCATAAATTATGGGGCACGCGTGGAAGGAGCTAAGCGTCGAGTTGCTTTGTCGTAGTTGACTTGAAGATGGGTAGATGCCGCAATCGGTGTGTGTATGTGTGTGTGTGTTTCTTGTTTTCTTGAAAAGAATAATTATGCTTCAGATTGTTGAAATAAAAGAATTTCCCTGAAACAAAAATTAAAAGTTGCAAGGTGTTTTTCTTTTTAAGACATTTCAGGCTTACAGTTTTATAGTTTTACATATATGGTTTTGCAGCTGTAGCTGTAAAAAAAACTAATCTTAATACAAAATCCAAGCCCTCTCCCCATTCCTCCATCATACAACAACCGCCCTTCTCCCATGATGCAACACCAACAGCTATATAAACCATCCATCTCCCATAATGCAACACCAACAGCTATATAAACCATCCATCTCCCATGATGCAACACCAACAGCTATATAAACCGCCCTTCTCCCATGATGAAACACTAACAGCTATATAAACCATCCATCTCCCATCATGCAACACCAACAGCTATATAAACCGCCCTTCTCCCATGATGCAACACCAACAGCTATATAAACCATCTATCTCCCATTATGCAACACCAACAGCTACATAAACCATCCATCTCCCACCATGCAACACCAACAGCTATATAAACCGCCCTTCTCCCATGATGCAACACTACCAGCTATATAAACCATCTATCTCCCATTATGCAACACCAACAGCTACATAAACCATCCATCTCCCACCATGCAACACCAACAGCTATATAAACCGCCCTTCTCCCATGATGCAACACTACCAGCTATATAAACCATCCATCTCCCATCATGCAACACCAACAGCTATATAAACCGCCCTTCTCCCATGATGCAACACCAACAGCTATAGAAACAATCCATTTCCCATCATGCAACACTAACAGCTA